GTGTCATTGTGAGGCTATGCAAGTTCAAAGCAGAAATATCCTGTTTTGAAAAAACAGTCTCAAAAAACCTGGGAAATGCAGTGAAATCATTAACAACAGCAAAAATACCTTTTTAAATAAAAAGCAGAAACAGATTTGGCTCATCTATGACTTTACTTTGGTTTCTGTTCACTGAGTGAGAACTAGAACCATTATTTATTTACTCGCTTCATTAATACCCTGCCTTTCTCCCCAATGGTGACCCAAAGCAGTTTATATTGTCTCCTTTCTTCTATTTTACCCTCACAACAACCCTGTGAAATAGGTCAGACTGAGAGTGAGTGACTGGCCCAAGGCTATGCATCAAGTTTCCATGGCAGAGTAGGGATTTGAACCTGGGTCTCCCAAAACCCAGTCTGACATTCTAACCACTGCACTACACTCAGGGCTATTTTTGGGCAGGAACGCACAGGAACGGAGTTCCGGCTGGCTTCAGAGTTGGCCACACCCACTACAGCCAAATCCTCTGCATGCGTGGCTACAGAGGGAAGGCCTGAAGAGTGACCCCCCCGGTCACTCTGAGGTGGGCGGGCCAGGGATGGCTCTGGAAGGATTGGGGAGGCATTTAAATGCCTCCCCGTGCCTTCCCTGGCCTGTCCAAGGGCTGACCTGCCTGGGCTCCACGCAGCCACGGGGCACCCAGGCAAGGCAAGGGAAGGCATGGGGTGTGGCCTAATATGCGAACGAGTTTCTGTTGTCAGGGGTGTAGCCTATTAGTTCCTGCTGGGCTTTTTCTACAAAAAAAGCCCTGACTACACTAGATGTTTAAATACTCATCAATCATGACTATGTAAGATCAGAAGAGTGGTTAAAGGGTCCTGTCACTGTAAGCTGTAGTACACTGTTGGCTTTTATGTCAAAACCACTTTTATGGTCCAATTAAATACTCCTGGGTTAAACTTATCATGATTTATATATTTGCATGCTGGTGGTGAAGTGCTCCAAGGTCCTATTTAAAAATATGATTAATTTCTCTATGAGTAATTGCATGAACAAAATCTCAGTCCAATTGACTATTTGTGATACTTTATATCACTGGTATGGTGGAACAAGGAAGAGGTGCTGACCTCTACCATATGAAGACTTCACATACAGCCCTTTTCACAAGTTGTCATTAGTATTATTACTACCATTACTATTACTATTATTGTGAATTGTCACAATCAGATATTTAACTGGTAGATGGTGTTCTACAATTCGAGATCTATCCAAGTGCTTGGGAATTGCAGATATATCTTTGCGGCATTCTTGCTGTTCCAAGCAACACTGTCTTCTAGAGTTGAGGTGGTGTTATTTGCTCAATTACCAGAATATCCTTGGGGAACCCAGGAGGGCAGGGGACAGAGCAGCAGCCTTCCCAGCACCACCTTCTGAAACCTACCCTTGAGGCAGGGCCTAAATCATTGCAGAACAGGCCTAAAAGGCAACCCAGAAGGATACTAGGTACGATGGTATCAAAACTGCTGGGAGATCCAGAAGAATTAACAGGGCTGTACTTCCCCTGTCCATCTCCTGACACACGTTATCCATTAGGGTGACCAAGGCTATTTCGGTCTCATAACCAGGTCTGAAGCCAGACTGGAATGGATCCAAACAATCTGCTTCTTTCAGGAATCCCTGAAGTTAGCCAGCTGCCACTCGTTCAATCACCTTGCTCAAGAAGGGTACATTTGAGATTGGGCAGTAGTTATTCAACAGTGAGTGCACATATAATCTGGCTACAGTGTACACTTGGTTTTTCTTTATACATGCATTGAGTAATTCTCATGTTACAATCAACACACGTACAGCTGAATGTCTGATTGAAACCCCATATTTATTCATGTACCTGTCCCCGGTTACATGTGTAAAAAGAACACATGTTGACTTGTTCTTACAAACAGGTTTACACGTGTATGTGCAGGTTGTACGTGCATTTACTTTAACAAGTGAACAAGGCCTGAATAAAATGGACAATGAGTTATGCTAAACTACTATTGCTGAAGGATACCAAATAAAAAGATTCAGGTGGATTGTGCACTAAAGAGTGCAGGAGAGAGAAAAAATCAAATGTTTAAAATGCTCCTTCATATAACACACGTGCTGCAGTTACAACGCTAGCATGCCAGGAAGGGATTTTGGCTGCTCATTAAATACCTTGCCTCTTTCCCCTTGATGGGTACCTCAGCAGCTCCTCCTTGTTTAAAACCCAGGTGATCATGACTGACAAAAGTAGTCACAGCAGATTTAATAAGGCAAAAATTATTTCCAGAGTCCCCTGTCTCCTCTGGCCACTGGTATGAGGGGAAAAGTTTGGAGATAAGTACCTCCTATTCATGATCTGGCTTTTAAATAGGTCTTCCCTGAAGGTTTCTGAGTGGGCTCTGCAAGCAGCTACTTCCTACTGTTCTCACTTTCCCTTCCTGTCTTCATCAGTGATGGGGTTTGGAGCCTGGGGAACAAGATTTCCTGCCAACAGATCCCTCAGTGTTTCACTCTTCTGTGCTGTGTGCTGTGTTTAGGGGCTGGATCTTCTAGTACAGTTATTTCCCTGCCACTTCTGACTTTCCCACATTTATGTATTGGTAATTATATTTATATCCTGCCTTTCTGCTATAATGGAGCACAAGGTGGTGTACATAGGAGACCTAAATGTTTTCTAAGGCAGGTACTGACCATACCCAGACCTGCTTAGTATTAGCAAAGTGCCTTTATCATGTCCCTTCTAAACATTCTCTAGGACCCAAGTTTACATCTGGTTGAGCCAGCAGCAGGAGCAGAATAAAAGCTGGGACACTGCCTTACAAAACAGTTTTAGTTCTGTTTATAAGGTGTTTAACTAAATCTTTTGCTGTGTTTGTAATATAACCAAAATAAACATTATTTCTGAAGCAAAAGGCTTTGTGGTTTAAAAAGTAAATGCATTACACTGAACAATTTTTCTGAAGTTGCTTTACTGACAAATGGCTAGCCTGAAGAGATCAGGAAAGTTCTCAGTGTTTCAAAGTTCTGCAAACTATGTAAAACAGAATTGTTCAGGAGGACATTTGTATAAAGATAACAGGGCTATATTATAATGGAATGGTTCGGGAAGGTGCTTTTATAAAGTGAACGGGACTGT